GTGCCGGATCCTGGATTTTTTCGAAGCGAGGCGGAACAGTCAAAACTGCCCTCCCCCCTGTCCCTTCCATTTTCAAGTTTCTGTATCAAACTGTACTGATGATTCCCACTCCTACTCGCATCCAGTACTCTGTTTCTGAGTATTTGCAGCTTCTCGCGCATTTTTAACAAAAAGCAATAAATCATTATGTGACATTGGTGGATTAAGTTGTTTGAATGACAATGGATGGAAGCAAAAAGCACTGTCAAAGCACCTTTTTTACGCTTTTTCAGGATGCTAACTCCGGTGTTTAGCATTGAGCAAACCGATGAACACATCATCATTGAGATTCATGCACCGTACGCTAATGTTAAAGATGCCGATGCGGATTATGCTGACCGACAGTTCTATTTCTCGTCAAAACCGTACTACTTGAAACTCTATTTACCCGGCGAACTGGACGATGCCGAACCGATCTCGGGAACTTATGATTGCGACAAAGGTACTTTTTTGGTAAAATCCTTTAAAAATAAATCTTTCGTATATTTTGTATCCAGTCTACTACTACTGTGAACGGTGCCCTTTCTCCAAAAACCGTCGTGACTCGAGACGGAATCGAACCACTCCTGTTCACGTCCGAATGCAATGTGTTACCACTTCACCATCGGTCCTTGTGCTCCACATTCATTCAGTCTGACAGTGCATCTACTGTGTATCTGCCTTTCAGTGCGAGATATACCTTTCTTTTGTCCTCTCTGTGGCAGTTTCTTGGCCGGCTTTTCGCAGGTTTTCCGCGACGGATACTTCAATCGAGATCAAATGGCACGGGTTCAGAGGAATTACTGTTATAATGAGTTTATTCGTGCAAGAGTGTACTTTTGACGTAGAATCAGGAATTTGTTGGTCCCTTGATCACCTCTATATCATGATTTTGAGGTATCTCTGTACTCGGAGTTTAATATTTTTGAAACTTCTGCAAAATCAACCTCCAGCATTTTTCCTGCTGGCATGGGGATATTCCTGAGATTCGCCAGTGGGAAAGCTAAGGGAACCGAAATTGTTCAAGTAATTATGGTCTTATTCGGGCCGTGTTAATTTGTATTGTTTTTTCTTTCTCTTAAATTTCATACTCATAATAATATCCCGAGTTTCAGGATCGTTCACTTTCATAGCTTTAAAAAAGAATAAAGGTGAATTCTTCCCGAATTTGGACCTGATAAATGAATTGCTGAAGCCATCCGAAGTTCATGCAAAGCGTCTGGTGGAGGAAGTGGGCGAGAATGACAGTGATGACAGTGGTAAGTCTCTACTTTTATATAATTTTTCACAGGGATTTATCACGTTAAATGAATTAGCAGATCCTG